AGGCAATAGTAGAGAAACGTAGCAATAGCCCAGAGATTAATCCAAGCAAACTTTTCTCCTACAAAGCCAGGTTATTTTATACCTAGGGAAACAAAGCCCCACTCTCTCTATAAGAGTCACACTTCGTAGTTAGGAGTCACAGTGTTACCAAAGTTCACCAGCCTTCTCATCCATCCAGTAGTTAAAATCAAACAAATGAGAGAGACTCATAACAAACCAACATATTTGTATAGGTCTGTTGTTGTTCCCTGTTACATTCTCAGTTGCGCTTATTATAAACCAGATGATTTAAACCTTTAAGCAGGCTGTTTGTTTCATGGTATGCCTATGATCCTTTTGTTTTGTAGTGTCTTCCCAAGGCCTCTGGTGATGGTGCACTTTCAGTGGGGATGCACATCTAGTTTTAGCTATCTGACACTTGTGTTTTTGGTGATGTGTCCATTTCAGATGACTATCTTGGCTTCTAGAGAGTGTCTGAGCCTCTTTTTTAGACTACAGTGGTGATGTGTGACTCTGAATATACCAGGGCCATATTTGGGATTGCTATGTAGCACTCAGCTAGAGAGAAGATGATTCCCCATTTATAGCAAATGTCTGTGCTCATACATTCTAGCTGCATGGGCAGGACAGCTTCACATTCACTAGAAGTTGCCAACAAATATTTTTGGAAAGACTGAAGGTAAGGTGATACTCCCCTTTTTAGCCGGGAAGGGCCAAAATATCCCATCATGCTGCACATGGGGCAGAGGAAGAAAATGGGGCCAATATGAGACATGATAAGCTGCTGTAGACAGGAGAGGGGCAGATTTGCCTGAGTGGTATTTTACTTTCTCTTCCAAACTGAAGGATGGATGGAGCTGGGCAAATATTGTACATCACACAAGCTACAGCAGTGGCCCTGGGGGAGGTTGTTCTTGACCACTTCAAGGTGGGCAGTGAGGGAGCACCTTTGAGGGGGGGGTACACTTGATGAGAGCATGGGTCCAGCCAAGGCACTGATTAAAGTGGGCCTGGGGAGGGGGGCGGTCCAGCTGCCCAGTGTAGGGCCTTATCAGCTATGGTAGGAGTGGGTATACCGGGTCCCTGATGAGAAGGGTTGGGATGATGATGACACCTAGCTGCAGGTCCTCCACTCCCAGTGCAAAGCACCCACTCTCCACAAGCACACCCAGTCCAGAGTTCCTAAATACATGTGCATCATGCACGCTGCCTGCCCAGTCAGCACTGACATAGGGGAAGGTCCCCTGGTGATCAACGACTGACAGCAGAACTACCGAGTGGAGCCACCTGCAACTATAATAGGGGCAGTCTCCATGGGATGGGCAGGTCACCGGGATGTGCATCCTGTCCAGGGTCCCGATACACTGGGGGAGCCCCAGTGCATGGAACCCTGCTACCACTGCCTGGGGGTTGCAGATGCAGAGGATGGTGTCCACCAGCACGTCCTGGAGGGCACCACACACCTCCAGGATGGCTTCCCCAGCAGTGGCCTGCCAACCCCAAACAAGTGCCTCACATATATGAACAGCTTGACTAGCACCAGAGCCAGGAGGTGTCAGCGGGGAGGGCTGAGCACATGCCAATGTCCTAGCACTCTAGGTGGGGCCAGAGCCAGTGGAGCAGGTCAACAAATGTGGCCTGGATCATCCTAAATGTGTCAATCCACTGTTTGGTATCCCAGTTGTGTTGCACCAGGCACTGCCACCAGTCCTAGCTGGCATGGTGGGCCCAGAAGTAGTGGGGCTGAAGGGCCAGGAGGGCAATGGTGGTACCGGTGGTAGCCTCCTGAAGCTCCTCATCTGTGTGGCTGCCGGCAGGACCTGCATGGCAGTGGGGGCCCTGAAAGGGCATGTGGCAGCTGGCTAAGCAGTCACTGTATGTGGGGAATCCAGGCAGAGCAAGATGACCATGAGCTAGGTGATGGTGACTATGGTGTGTTAGCAGGGTGACTGAGGTAGCCAGCAGGATCAGGGGACCCTGTACCTTACTGCCAGACCTAGGAGCTGAGGCAGCCATAGCTCAGGAACACAGAGGGGGCATGAACAGAGCTGCCATGTGCTGCCTCTGTGTGTGGCACACTGCTCCTCTGCGCACTGGAACTGGCTGCCCAGAGATCACAGTGCCGGGCACTGTTTTAAGGATGGCTTCCAAGTGTTGGCAGCTGGGTCTGGCTTCAAACATGGCTGCCAAGTGCTGGCAGCTGGGGCTGGAGCTCCCCCTGGCACGTGGCAGGGCTGGAAGGACCTAAATTTAGTGTCAGGTCCCTGCATGTGTAGACATCTACCCAAATTCGCTTACTGTGCAACAAATCTAGTCATGACTAAATGCACATGTAGACACACCCACTGTCTAGTGCTCTGTTCCCTTTCATGACAGCTGGCTACAGATCAAGGTGGCTGAGCCTATTGTAGCTATAGCTAACAGAGCTAGGCATTTTAGCTTGAGTACAAGGGCTCATGCATGAATATCCAGCAGTTCCAACTTGAATTCCTGCACCTACCAACCCACCCAGGGCTGCAGCATTACAGTATCCATTAGAGAGGACTGTATTTGCCAAGAAGTTGCTGGACATTGGCATTCTCTGTCCGCAGCTCTTGATTCCTTTTGGCCTCTCTCCCCCTTCCATACTTATACAAAGACCATGCTTTATTTTCAGGACACCCCATTTGGAAAGGCACTGGGTTCAGTGCTTAATGGGTATGAAACTGATTTCTGATAGAAAAGGAGCGGGCTGTGCCTTCAGTCTCTGTTAAGCGTGAGTCCATGAGATTGTCTAGGTCACCCTTTTCTTTCCTGTTCAAGGATGTTAGGCTGTCTGATGCTAAACCAGGGAGCTGGCAAATCAGGACCAACAAGTGGAGTTGTAGCTGAGAATGAGGACCCTCACCTTTTGCCATGAGTGCTTCTGACCTTGCAGACTTCATGAGCAGAGATAGGACACAGAGCATCATAAAACTATGCTCTCACCAGGACACCTGTAGCCATAAAAATGAGACACGAGCAAAATTTGTTGCACAAATAAACAGGGAGTAGTTGTGCCTGTCATAGGTTGGACTTGAAAAAGAACAGGAGTGGATGACATATAGTTTTTCTTGATGCTACAACACAGATTATTTTATCCTGAGCATAGCATGAGAGTTGTTCTTATAAACAACTAACGCGCGCCAGTAAATCGAACGTACGACCCATTTAACCGCAGCAAGCGTACCCTGCAGTGTCCTTTATTGCATCTCCTTGGCAGTGATGGGTGGGTGATGCATCCTTTATGAGAACTGCAGAGTCATTAGCTGCAACCTTTGACCAAGTCTCCATGCAGCCCTGAACTACAGAACTTAACTCTCTCTGCCTTCTGCTCCTTGTGCATAGCATCGGATGATAAGCAAAATCCTTGCCAGCTCTCATTGTGCTAGATGCCTTGCAGTGGGTCGGGGTAGGCACTTAGATCCCAGTTAAGGATTCAGTTTCCCCTGTGGTGAAATAGAATTGTCCTGTGTGCATATCTGCTAGAAGTAAAATGACAGTGGGCCCATCCACCTCTTAACCCAATAGCCTGGTGGTTGAGGCACTTGCAAGGGAGAAGACTGGGTTCTAGGCCTCCCACATACAGTGGATGTTTGAACCTGTGTCTTCTGCTTCCCAGGCATTGTACAGTACTCTCATGTCCAAGCCCTAGACTAGACATTGCCCAGAAGAGCAAGCAAACATTCTTTCTCCCCCCTTAGGGAGAACAGTGGCATTTTTTGGTACTGAGTATAGCTGGGATAATTTCTTTGGAAAGCCATTTTTTGTCACAAAATGCAAATAAGAGAAAACTGAAATTATTCACAAATTCAATAAATATTTTTGACTGGATAAAAAAAGACATTTGGAAAAGCCACTATGTTTTACTCAGATGTCTTTTAAATATAACATTTTGATTTCTTACTTGAAACTATTTTCAGAGTTATAATCAACTTTTACCAGTTAAAAAAGCTAAAATAAATTTGAAAAAAATCAAATAAAGGGTTTTGTTGGGTCAAATAAATAGATCAATCAGATGAAACATTCCAGGTGGATCCAAAAAAAGAACTCTTTTTGGTTCAGACAGTGAGCAAAAAAAAAAATAAAAGTTGTGTCCCCGGCTCCTGTATGGATCACTTCCCAAAAAACTGGCCCTTGGTTATTATAGTTCTTTAACCTTTGCAGGACTTGCCATAAAGGTCCCTGTATAACTAAAACATGAGACACCAGCTTCATCATGAACAAAGGACTTCTCAGCTACTTTCTCAATTGAAGAACTGAACAATGTTCTTGGATATGTTCTTTCTGGAAAACAAATGTCCTTCTTATAACTCATGGCTCTGATTTTCAGTTGGGGGGAAATTAATTCAGTCTCACTGAATTTCACACTTGTGGTTAGTGTCTGACTGCACAGCCCCTTCTTTTATATTTAGCTATAACATATTTATTCTTTTTTAAATAAAAAAATCTTAATACCTAGGAACTATGGAACTAATAGATGTCACACTACTGGGACTGAGATTTGAAGTTTGAAATAAGACAGTGAGAACCAGGCAATTCTTATCAACAAAGTGAGAGAGACAGATGCATAACTGGGTGTAAATTGGGAAATGCCTACGAATGTCAATGGAACTACATTGATTTGCAATGGCAGAGGTTCTGGGCGGCAAATTACGTTCAAAGTAAGTATGAGGAAGAGGAGCCTAGGAACTAAGGGCTGATTCAGTTCTGCTCCAGAGCTTCAAAGACTTGGTCAAGCTTGGAGCAGCTTCGGGGCAACCCACTAAATATAGTGAAATATGATAATGTGCCATGACTGTTGTACTCTCTTTCCATGCATGTAGACTGCCTGAACCTTACGTGTGATCTGTCACTGAACCACACATTAGAAAAAAACATGTTTTTATCAAACATCTCCGATACTAGGATGGATGGTCAGATAATACCAAGTGCAGATGCATGCTAATAAAACAAAGGGACAATGGACCTTTGTGCCTTACCTCTAAGTTTGGCTTCCAGAGGGCTCTTAGACAACCAGGACACAGCATTACAGTAAGACTGGAATGTTATCTGGTCTTCATCTGTACAAGGGATTTGTTCCAGCAGCTGAAACAAATAAATAAGCAGCACTCAGCAAGGCAAGTTGTTTCCTTTCAAATTTATCTTGCTTTTTCACATCTACTCCCACCTCCTCTTCTTTTTTTGATCTTAACCATAGACTTCAGGGATCCTTTGCATTTACCATCTGCTTTTATAGGCCTAGCACCTCCCTGTGTTTTCTGATAATCTTTTATCAAATTATCAGACCTAACCACCTGGATCCTCCAAAAAGGATACTTAGGGAAAGTATTCACAGTACAGAGCGCAGGCATTAGAAAGTATGTGCTTACCTCTACCTTGTGCTGTACCTGTAGCTAGCCGTTCCCTCATCCACACTTGTCAGGTTTTATAGGGTAGCAGGACTGTGTCTGAGTGGTTCATAGAGAGGAAATCTCTGGAAACCCTGGATGAGGTAGCTCACCACTGCTAATTAAAAAGTGGCACTTTCCCCTGTAAAGCAGCTTCCCAGCATAGTGAAATTAGAGGACAC